AAAAGGCATTATAAGGTATATATTTCATATTTATGAATTAATTTCCCCTTTATTTGAGTACATTGATGATCTCACTACCTAATCTTGAACAAAACCCTATGTTAAGCCCTTAAACATATCTTAAATTCTTGATTAAGCTCTTGAGTTTTTATTAAAGCAAATATATTTCTGAATTTAGTAATTTAAATAATTTAACCTACTTTTTTTTTTTTACAATAAATTTAATATTTGTTTGTGTCTTGCATAAGTGGATAAAATATCAACATGTTATTGTTTATATGATAGGTATTGACCTTGTCAATACAAGGAAGGCACAATCGGGGATTTAAGTGATCTCCAATATGAAAAATGATTAAATTGCTTAAATTGTTAAGTTCAGGAACTTATTTGTTTTAATAAAAATTTAAGGGAGGTAAGTTAGAGTTTAACATTGGGTTTTGTTGCTAATCTGGTGTAATTTTTCAACGCAATCATCTGCATATCTGTGGTAACATTTGTGATACTGGATGCGGCCTAGGGTTTGTCGAATTATCACAACCATGATGCATACCAGTTATATTTAGGGTAAGGCTAATCTCGGGTATTGGGTTCACATAGGCTTTGTCAAATTAAGAAGCCTTATGTGAACCTTGAAATTTTCATGAGTAAGGCTAATATGAGATGTGTCTTTAAATGGCCTTTTATTTTATTTTTTAATCCTGGGGTATTTAGAAGTTATGTTGAGTTTTGATTAATTTAGAGTCAAGCCTTGTTGGACCTCTAAGGGAAAGCTCTCTTAGTGCATGTTACTCTATTTACAAGATTCGAATTTAAGATCTTATTTAAGAAAAATTGAACTCCTTCCACTTAGAATTGGTGTCTTTTAATTCCTTTTGAGTTACCTTCGGCCTGTCTACTACTTAACTCAGATTTTTATGATTCAATATATATATATATATTTCTATCATGGATCTAAATAGTGAGGCTAATATATGAATTTCTTGATGGTTGGAATTGGGGCTACTGAAAACATTAGCGGGCATTCTCTTTTGGAACCAGTAACAGCTATGGCATCATATGTATGGTTTCATGTTGGAAAACGTCATGTGCCAACTAGTTGACCATACTACTAGGGAAAACCTTGTGCTATAGGCGCTTAAAAATTTGCAGTTTCTTGTGTAATTTTTCAACTCAATCATCTGCATATCTGTGGTAACATTTG